ACTGAAATAAATGAACTTTTCCACGACATTCTAATTTATTGAGATGCACCTGTATATGCTCTATTCATTCTTTTTTTAGAAACCTCGCACTTTTCTACTCAAGTTTAAACGTTGTAAAATTTTAAACAAATTAAGCGCGGTCCGCTGCTGTACACGTGCCACAATATCGATACAGGGCCAGCTGTATCGATACTCGTATCGTCAAATCTCTGTGACGATACATCGTCGTATCGATATTTTGAACACAGCACTATTACAGACATGACAAATATATTATAGAGAGTGAAATATCTACTTTCAAATGAACCAATTCAAATAGAAAACAAATATTCTCAGGTTATGTAATCCCTATGAAACATGCAGGTGCATCCTCTAGTGCGGAGATGAGTCCGTGTCGTCGACTTCATCTCTTAAACCGAAAACAAAGCGCTAGATTATCAATACATTATTAAAACGTTAATGCAGTCTCCTTGCTGTTTTTCTGACACATTCATAATTATTATATCTGCATGTGCGCTTGAGCACTTATTGGGCTATGTAGGCAATTAAGGCTCATTATGATGATTTATATGGTTTATTAATAAACGTGCGACTAATACTCGACTAATGCTTAAAATGAACGAATACTAGTCGACCAGATAAATGTTTAGTTGAGGGCAGCCCTAAATATTTGTTATGTCCACCTTTTGCAGCAATTACAGCAGCACATCTCTCTGGCATAGTGTCAACATGTTTCCTGAGAACTTCAACACTAATGTTATCCCATGCCTTCTGCAGCTCAAGACAAAGGCTTTCCTTTGAATCTACAATAGATCTGTCCAGTTTATTTTCCAACTTGCCCCAAATTTGCTCGATGGGGTTGAGGTCCGGACTTTGAGGGGCCAGTCCATCATTTTCTGTGTTCAGCAGATTCCTTCCATCGCAGGTAGTTCCGGCAATAGTTCGTTTTATGGGCATTGTAATAGCCAATTCAACTGAAACCTCTTAAATATGCCAAGTGTTCTAACAATTTTGGCCACCACTGTAGATATCAAGCATCTCAGTCATAATTTAAGTGAAGTGTAGGACTAAATCTTAAGTGTCAGTCTTAGGCTGATGATACACTGGGCAGCTTTTTGCCGGGCAACTTTTTTTTTTTCTAACAATGTTGCTTGGGCACTTTCCCACTGCGAATGGGTAACACATTTCTATCTGGATACTTAAGATCAGTTGTGGGCCCTGTGTCTCACCTGGTTGCCCGTTGACGGCAAAATTTTCCAAAAAGTTGCCCCGTGTATCATCAGCCTTAGAGATGATTCACGACACTTTGCTGTGCCATAAACGGGATTTTAGATGACAACATAGGCATGGATCAATCACTGAATAGATTTCCTTATTTAAGAATATCCTCAGATAAATCCCCATTGAATGGTGAAATTCCTAAGAGAAGTTTGCATTCAACACACATTTGACAAAGAATTTGAGAGAACACATTATGGCAAGGAAACGAAGCATCATCACGACCTTCAATTTAGGGTTGTGCAGATAGATTATAGTATTGTGTATCGATGCCAGCTAGAGATATCGCCCATTGCTGATGCCTTTGATGACAGCAAGACGATTATTACTATTATTATTATTATCCATCAAAAACAGACTAGGCGCCTATCTTCAGTGATGTAGCATGGGGAGCCGCTAATGGGACGCTTCAGAAGCGTGTGTGTGTGTATATATATATATATATATATATATATAAGGGATGGGTCACTATAGAATATCGAATAGGTTGAGCAATTATTGTCTTAAAAAATTTCCCCATGTTTTCTGTGCTGATGCGGTGGTGACGCGTTCATGTAAGCAGAGGGTGGCGCTGCCGATAACGCACCTAAAAGCTGTCAAAGACAACAGAAGAACACCTTGTCTCACACGCACACTGTAGACTTGCGTGGCATAAAAAAAAAAGACTTGCGTAGCATATAACGGTTACAGTAACTTGGGACGATGTCAAATAAGAGTTCTGTGAGGACCACAAATACCCCCGACTGGGTTAGGGGTGTGGCTGAATCCGTGGTCAGAAAGGTGCGGAAAACAAATAACGCATTCTACGGCATAGGCGCGGGAAGTGGGAGGGCTGAGGGTGCTGCAGCACCCCCTGTTTTTTTCTGTGGGCAACTGTTTAACTGTTGGGGAAAAAATTAAAAAAATCGGAGTGTCTATTTACAATAAGTGCAAATAGCCCACCTTGCTGGCAGAGGCTATTTACACTAACTTCACCCACCAACGTGTGATTGGGCTAGTCAACATTACAAAAGACGGTCTTCAATCATTGGATTCAGTGGCATAGTTGGTAAAGCATGTGTCATAGGCTACTCCTTTTGCCGTGATCGACCTGGGTTCGAATCTGCCTTTTGGCGAACTTTTTTACTCCCTTTTCAAATCGCATCAGAAAAGCATTTATTTTTAATAAAAATGAAGGAAATAATCAAAAAGTTGAAAAAGTATCGGGTAGGTTTAAGGTTTAGGGCGTTTGTCCCAATAAGGTGGCATCCATTTAATAATTTTAATTATAATTAAAATG